GAGATAGGAAGAGGAGGTAGGGATGGAATACCTTCATATGCTATACTTTTGAGCACATCAAAACTACTACAGCACTGTTCTGAAGCAATGATCACTTACACAAATAATACTAGCATTTGCAGGAGAGAATTACTTTTTAGTCAATTTGACATGTTTTGTAAAGCATCATGTAACATGGGATGCAATTGTTGTGACATTTGTATTAGAAGTTGTACTTGTCATAACTGCAAAAGCAATTTGCAAGAACACTATTTATTCATACCATTATTCTTTGGTTTAAATTAATGATTTGTATTATTTATGATGTTTGTTTGCAAAGATTAGTGTGCTACATTACCCATTTAATTTATTGTTTTCATTGCAATGTTTCCCATAGGGTTTAATGTTTGGAATAAATTCATTTGTTTCAGTTGATTATGTACTCTTGATCTTATAAACAGTTAATCTTGGCCAATCAACAATATTATATTATTCTATTATTATTATTGTTTGAAATCTTTTATTCTGTGATTGACATGATTAATATAGTATGTTTCGAAGTGACTTTAAGTGCTTCAACATCCAGTCGTGTAATGAAGTCATTTCAAAATTAGAAAGAGGTTTCTTCTTTAGGGCACTGTAAAGCCTTGATGAATGAATCACTCTGTTTTGAGTATATGTAAAAATATTACTTTCATTTAACTCTCTAAGAATTATGTTCATGTCCTTATCTGAACTACACAATGAATGTGTTCCAAAAATTTCTGAAATTGCTAGTTCTTTGTCAAATGTTTCTGCCAGCTTAGATAAAACACCCATGCATCTACCTACACGCTTCAAGGCACCAGGTGTCTTATTAGAACATAAATTCTCTACAGCAACCTTACACATTCTATTTAAATGTTCAAGATGCAAATCAGCAGCAATATTCCTTCCTGTTATTCCATGGACATTAATGCACCTGCTCCACAGTAACTATTCTCTTTGACGAGGACTAAAAAAGAAGTGGTACTGCCTAAGTAGGTTCAATCCCTCAATGGCATAATTCTTACGCTGAGCCTCTTTAAAAGCTAGTGTGAGATACCTCCAACAGTGAAGAATTCTATTACCATCCCCTTCCCGAATTGAATCTGAAAACTCCAAGTATAAAAGCCCATATGACAAAAGCTCAGTAGCATAAATAAAAACTTTATCGTCATCTTTGCCATCACTACTAGTTTGGCCTTTCTTTTTATACCCTACATCCAAATCAACAAACTCACTAACTATATCCATGGTAACCTTATTTAAAACATCCTTTCTAACCTCACCTTCTTTTAGCCACAAACCAGCAACGAGACACCAAAGGTGCGTGGCCTCGCCCCTAAAGCTGCTTGGGATGTGTTATGCTTAGCTAGCCTAAGCCAGTATATATATATTTAAATGATATAGCTAGATCAAAAGTGCTGACAGCCTGGACTAAGCAAGTGTGAAAAGTATGATGGGACTCTAGAATCCCAAAAATTGGTAAAACGTGTCCATAAATTCCTATTAGCATCTCAAGATTTATCACTTATTTATACACTATATTTATACTTATTGCACTCTCACTTTAAAAACATCATGGGTTTCAAAACCACAGCTTTTGTTGTGGCCACAATCTATCAAAAACATGCTATGCAGAAAAATAGAAAGTGTGCTTTTGAGGCTAAGGGATTATCATAACAGCTAGCTTCCTAGCTGCAGTTACACTTGCTCTTGCATGCTTGCAGAAGTGGCAAGCTCCAGGGCCAACTCCCAGCTTGGTCCTGCTTGGAGGCGTGGCATTAATGCAGCAAGACCATGTGAGAGGGAAGCTTCAGGTTTTTTCTCTTCTTCTAAGCGCTATATGATGTTATAATGGCACAAATACTGTTGCCTAGATAGATTGAGTGACTTAAGAGAGTTTAGGATCCTTAGACTAGCCATGGACTAGCGAACTACTGCTACATCACTTCACTCGGGATGAAATTCGAGTAGCTATAACTCACCAAAAAGAAAGATTTAAAGAGTCCCACACATATTAAATGAATAAATAGTCTTGATCTACTGGGAAAGAGTCTCATTTACCTCCAGAGTACTACCGCTATTGCTGGGCATTTTCTCGTGAGTTAAAAAGCTTGTACTACCTAGAGCTGCTCTCTAAATATCTCGAGGCAGTAAAGCAAGACTTTTCCTAACAGAAGAGAAGCTCTCACAGGTTTAGAGCGTGCAATTGTAAAGATATACATTCTCAAAGACAAAATATAGCACACAGAATGAATGAATGACAGACAGACAAACTGAGTACCTAGTCCTCGCCTACGCAAAGCTGGGCGAGGCCAATAAGCAGAGAGTGAGATGGTTGGTCATTGATTGTAGCCATCTTCAAGTACTGCATAGCTGCAGCAATGATATGACACTCAACTACTACAGTGAAAAAATCGTCACAGGCATTATAGTCACTTTCCGAATCAGCACTGATATTTCTCCGATCTATTAAATTCCTCAATTGTGCCATGCTTCCTTTGTCCATGAAACTCTTAGTATCATAAAACTTCTTCCAAATCACCTATAAAACATGAGGTCACTGATATAAATGATACAACTTACTTCAAGTAAACATTTCTTGGCATGCCAGTCTTCACATACAGGCTGTATACCTTTTAGAGCATGAATTGGTGTTGAGCCATTCTGCCGTAATTCGATTGCTGTTTCAATCCTCTTACATGTAAGTTGGTCTCCCCCAATCAACAAACAGTGCAATCGATCAGCTGAAACCATCTTTTGTGTAACACAGTCGCTTTCCTCCCTCTGAGATACAGGAACATACTAACTTCTTCAAGAATCTCTATCATATCATCTAAATTATTCTCATTTTTAAGTATTACACCCAGTGGCACCTAAAGGAAACAAAGAATGAAATTGAAATCTTAAAAACTAAATGTACATGTAAATCAATTACCGTTTCTGACTTCTGAGACATTTCTTTACTGTATTTGTGAGTAATGTGGTGTGTTACGACATCATGAAATGTTTCCGAAAAGTATTTTAATTTTGAGACCAAAACTTGACTAACCAACACAGAAAAGTCAGAAAGTAAGCCTTGATAATCAGACTCTGATGGTCATAATGTTTTAATTGGTAGCTCAGACACTGGAATGCTAATACTGGGACTGGGGCTATCTGGTACACTTGAGAGGTTAATACGGTCTCTCACAGCATATATGTGAAAAAAGTGCAATGAATCTGTACCATGGTCAATGCGTCTATATCGAGGTTTCACATTTTTATCGAGATTGTCACCTATGATCCTAAAACCATTCCAAGTCCCATTATTATCATCACAATTATCTTCATTCACTTCATTATAATCAGATTCACAATCTATGTAGCAAAGAACATAAATATTGTATGGCAATACACTAACCTACCCAGAAATATCACTCAAATGTGAAAAGGATGGTGCACACGGAGTGCAAGCACTAACACTGTCATCTGACTGAGTAGTAGGGCCTTCATCTGATTCAAACAATGTTGTACTGTCATTCCCTTGACTTAAATTATTAACAGAACCAGCCTACAAATGTTATTAGCATATGAAAATGTATAGGATTTTTCACCACCTTTAATCTTCATGTCCAGAATTTTTGCTACTTCATATATCTACTCTTCTGCCTTTAATTTTTGTGGACGATGCTTGCGAGATCTCAGCATTTTCGGTATGACCTTGTTGTCAGAGTTTTATTAATTTATATCTACATCTCCTTTGCTGATAAATCACAAATTGAACTTTTGACCTGGAGACTTCATTAAACAAGTTAAATTATATAATAAGATGAAAATACAGTTACACAAAGTTCCTAATGGGATGTCATTCCGTGATATTGCACTTCAGGCTACTGTCTTGAGAATTTTCTGTCGCATAAAACCTTAAAGTTAAAAACAGTTTTTGCATTTGTATTGCTTTTGGCTCAAGACATAAGGGAGTTAAACTTTAATGAAATTCTTGTGAAATGTTCAGTAACAATAATAAATTTTCAGCAATTTTTATATACAAAGTTGGTTCTTAACAATGTTATTATTGCCATGATATCTAACTATCTAGC